TGACAGAAGCGAGACTGCCATACACTTGTGCCTCCAGTCCCTCAGGGGTACAGCAGTCTCACTTTTGCAAGTGCTCCCCAGGGCAGCTATGGCTTTAGTGTACCTTGCCATCATGAGTGGGTAAATTACATTATAATGCACGTAGAGCATTGAAGTCCACTGACTTTTAATGTGATATATAAATACAGACCATTCAAAGTTAGGCCAAGCATATTTTTCTGTATATGTCTAAATAATGGACTGTAACACCCCCAATAAAGGACTTTACAGACAGATGTTATGCAAAGCTTTCTGTATGTATGACTGACTGTAAGTCAGGTTTTCATACTTCAGGGGTGCATACTGTAGCTGGACCCAAAAAGTAAGACTTTCAAATACATATGGAAAGCACCATTAGCACTTTCAAAGTCCAGGATTTCTCACCAGCCCCAGTTTCATTGATCAATATATGTTGCAAATATAGAATTTAAAGTTGCTTTAATAAATCATTTATTCAAACTTCTGAAAGTTCTGCATCATATGGGAGCAGTAATGGGAACTGAACTATATTAGTGTGAAAAAAAGTTCCACTTCAGTATACAAACATATTTTTGTTGTAAAAACTGCTGCAAAACACATTATTTTTGCAAGCAACAATTAAAAAAATAATTACTATAAATAAATCCAGATATTTACTTGATCATATTCAGTTTCTTCGAAATAAACTTTAAAGCAAGCATGCCACAGCGTACAATTTGAATAATTTGACTTAAAGATATATGAGAGAATGTTGCCTTCTCTATTAAAAATGGTCCAAAGCCTATAGAACAGGTGAAAATATTAGGAGATAAGTAAGTTAAAGGTACTGATAAAATCAGAACAGAAACATCCTACTTTAAAATCCCCAAATCAGCTATAATCTGAGTATATCCATAAAGTTCTGTACTAAGGAAATTAATGGCCTATCTTTATTCCCTTAGTGGATTTTATAATATTTGGCATTGATGACTGCTCTTCGGATGTCTACCATTAGTCATGTTGACCAGTGAGGGTTACCTGCATGATGATCCAGTGAACATGAAGCAGAGCTTTTGGAACACTTTGGTGTGACAGATCTTTAAACCCATCCATTTAGATCATGATGTAGAAGGTGTGAACGTTCACAGCAGTATCTGACCTGCACCGTGCGGTAAGAACAGCAGGTTCTTCTGATTCATTCTTGATTAAAAAAAGAACATCTATTAAATTCCCTGTAAACTTTGAGAAAGGAACACAGAAAATGTTTATATTTATTAGGGATAGTGTGTAAAAGTTCTTCTGATTCATCTACAGTTTATATAATGCTATGTCCTTGTAGATTATCATAAAATTGGTCTTGAAAAGTATTTCCTAAAACGCTACTAAAGCCGTAGCGAAGCGTCTGTTCCAACGCTTCAATTTCCAAATTCTCCCTACCAAGTAGCACTAAATTGGTGACTTAGTAACGACACTGTCGAGGAACACATGGAAAACATGCAAGAGGAGGAGGGTTTTGTGTCAGAGGTCGTGGATGAGTATCCTCCATTATACATTTTTTATTTAGAGGAGGAAAGCAGGGACGAAGATGTTGTGGAAGAGGACGCTAGGGCAGCAGAAGCTTGGTTTGGTGTAGAAGGCTTACAGCCGTACATGTTTGAACCCTTGCCTCACAACGCTGCCAGTTCTGTTAGGTCAACGCCTGCCGAAGACATAGACGTCCATCCCCATGAACACTGGGACGTTCCTCAATGGTGAAGTAAATGATTCTTATTTCAACCGTTGCGTACATTAGCTGCAACATATGAATCAAGGTGCTATGACTGAAAATATTTGATTGACAGATCACCGTTTATATATGATTGGCCGAATTTAGGTGTACAAGCTGACATATAACTGGCCTTAATAAAATAACAAAAAAACAAACATAGATTTTAAGACAGGATTATTATTTTTTTTTTTTTATAGAAATTTTCTAACTTTTGGGACAGTATGGTATGATAAAGAATACATTTACCTACTTTTTTAAGCCAGAATGATTTAGAATTTAAATATGACTTCCCTACTAGGTACTTCAAGTTTTTTTTTGGTAGAACATTAGCTGCTTTTTGTATTATTGCTCAGCTGTTCTTGACAATTTGAAAACCATCCATCTTCTATGTCACTTTTTAGGGTCACAGAAGACTAACAGCCATAAGTACAAATACTCAGATCAAGGGGCAAAGATAAACTTAATAGTCATGTTGTTGGACTGTAGGAAGACCTAAAGAGAAACCCTGCAAGCATAGGGAGAACATGTAAGATCCCAGGCCATGATTTGAACCCTGGACCCTCTTGCTGTAAGGCAACAGTGCTACA